CGTGCTGGGCTGCGCGGCCGCGGCGCTGATCCCCGCGGCCGACGTGAAGGTGGAGGTGCTGCAGAAGCCGTTCCTCTGCCACAGAAGGACCAAGTGGGGGGACATGATGCTGGTACACTACGAGGGCTTCCTAGAGAGGGATGGCTCCATGTTTCACTCCACGTAAGTAGCTCGCTCCGGGAGCCTTGCCTTCGAGCTAGGTGCTGGGCTTGCACGCAAATCTGTATGTATATTTTAAAGAGGACGGCGCCTTCTGTCAGTGCTTCTTCAGTCTGGCCCACACGCTGCGGCCTGCAAGCCAACTGCAAAACGGTGGCCTGCGATATTGCTCTGTAAGGAGTGTTATGTCGAGGGCCAGTTGGTCTTTGTTTTTAAGATTAAATGCCCCAAATACGTGTTCATATGCGTGCAAAGAATACGGGGAAAATAAAAGCCATGCATACACGTTCAAAATTTACCCTCGTTTTTTGTTTGTTAGTGAATTAAAACAACTTTTTAGCAACACTGCACAAACTTATCTGTGAAAGCCTTTGCACACTGCAACACCCACCCGCCCGCTACGACCAGGGACCAGGACGTTTGGGTTGTCCTTACAACTTAAGAGTTTAGGGAGACACCGACTCGCAATACCGTGTGAGACAAACCTAACAGTGAAGTTCATCACCCTCCCTTTGCCAGAGTGAGGCTCTAAAATAAATGCCATTTAGCTTCTGTTTTCTGGTTTGTCCCTAAAAAGGAGATTATATTTTTTAAAAGCATCTTAGACACCCTCTTCTTAGACACAGTTGAGATACAGCTTTTGGTATGATCTGAGTGGTTTTTTTAGGTGCACAGTTTGTGCTGTGCACAAATTTCTTTCTGGTTTCTAAGGAAAACTTCTGGAGGAGAAGTCTGCCTCTACTTCGGAAAAAAAAATCTTCCTAATGCTGATAGAACAATGGTACTTTTTTGCTGCTGAAGTGGCATATTCTTCACCTGCCCTAGACCAGACAAATCAACATACCAGGGCAGCTGTAATGTAAGTAGGAATAAGAGCCAGACATTCAAAGGAGTTTAAGAGTCTGCAAAGACTTGCTAATGTTGCCTTTCCGGTAAAACATCGATTGAGTGTTAATAGTGGGAGACAGCAAAATGCTCAAGTATGTGTAGACTGTGTCTGAAGTCTGCTTTTGTGGACAACATACAAAAAGAGCTGTGTTCTGCATGCTCATTCCTTTGTAGGCAATTTAAATTAAAATCTCACTAATTTTCTCTTGTAGCTAACCTGCCTGTCTAAAAGGAGTTCTAGTGACATTCTAAGTTTTCGCTCCTGACTAACTTCTGTAAGTGCTCTGTTTTCTTTTTAAGCACCTTTCTTGCATGACTGGTAACTAGAGCTTTTTGACTGTGGTTAAAATTCTGTGCCTGCCAGTATAGTGGAGGTAGTCCTTGTGTACCACCACCTGGTTAAACTGGAAAAAGGGCTGGTCTACCTATTTTAAACTCAAGTGTTTTGCATGTATTTATTTCTATTCTTCTAAACTGTCTGTTGTATAGTCATTTTTTCCCCTAATGATTATTTTCAAAAGAGATGTTGCTGATGCTTCTAAGCATGGGACAGGGTAAACTGTAAATGCGACCAAGATTTAGAAATTGGTTTTTGATTTGCAGTTTACCACGGAATGAACGCAGCCTTGAATGTATGTTTTAAGTAGGAATGCTTTTGTAGTCTATCAGTTGCAAAGTAGAAATCCATGATCAGGGAAATCGGAGTGAGATCCAGGTGGCTCAGTGTTGTCATAAACCTCCTGTATATGCTGTTTTATTTCTTAAGGAATGTTGTCATGCAAGACATAAGTTTTGAAGATTTTAGGGCTTAAATCTTCTTTTATTTAAGAAATGCCAAGGCGCCGAATAAGATTTCTGTTATATAACTCTGCTGTGAATATCTTCTGTCTGCTCCACGCACCTTTTATGGAGTTTGCTGTTCAAAGACTAAGTGTTGTATTCCGTTATTTTCCAGCCACAAGCATAACAATGGTCAGCCTATGTGGTTTACACTTGGCATAAGGGAAGCTATCAAAGGCTGGGACAAAGGTTTGAAGGACATGTGTGTGGGAGAAAAGCGAAAGCTAACCATTCCACCCTCCCTTGCTTATGGAAAAGAGGGAAAAGGTAAAACACCTGCAGTCCTCCCCTTACTTCAGATTTTTCTTATCCATGTATTTTACTGTTACTCTTTTTAGCATAAGAGGTTAGCAAGTTTTCAAGCTTTCCAGGCTAGTTCCAGTAAATAAGAGAAACTGATGGAGTCAAGTACTCTTTCTCACAAACTTGTTTTTTGCAGAAATGTCCATTAAGTGGTTAGGTGGTGAATGCAGGAAAAAAAATTAGAACTGATGATGGCCACTGCGCTGCCTGCTGTGAGTGTCTTTTCTGTTAGAAGTGTGCCCAACAGTGCCCTGCTTTAGGTGACTGTTGGCTTCTTGGCAGTTGCAGCTGTGTTTGTGGTAATACTTATGAATGCAAATATGCAAGCCTCGTACTTGTTTGTGGGTTTTAGAACCCAGAGAAACTCCCTGTGCTGCTACCCATCCTCTCATATCCTTAGTCATACAGTGAAAAGTCATCATTTATTTCTCCATCGGGGCATTTAATTCTTTCCCTGTTTTAGCTATTTTCAGTCTGGGCAGTGCCTGTTATCCACACTAAGATATGTGGGCACGTGAGGGTACTCACATCTACTGAATATGGCTTGTGTCTTGTTGTTCAGTAATTATTAGCGGTGTTTTCTCAACCTGTCTACTGCTAACAGTGTTTGATTTTTTTTTTTTTTCTTTCAAACACTTCCAGATCCCTCTCTTAATGGGAGAGTCAGATCTGGAATTAGTAGTCAAACAAGTGACAATTTGAATGATGCGGAAAGGCTACTTTGACTGCTCTGTGGGGTTTGTTTTAGTTAGCACTTTTTTAGGTAATTATTTAGAATATTTTAATGATGATAACAGTGGTCACAAATGACCTAACGTAAAGCAAGATTTTAAAGCAGAAAGGATAAATGTCTCGGGATGTACAAGTCTTACTGGTATGTCCTTTCCGATTAGCATGAAACTGTTTTAGGGATGAGGAGTATTTGAATGTCTCTATCTGCTGGCAAGTAGGAAGGAGCATAGGTTAAGCAGTGACAGTGGACTTACTCCATATGCTCTTTTCTTGAAAGTATCCTTTAAAAAAATCTTTTTCTAGAAGCCTTGGTTTGGAGCTCAAGAGATAGTATTAGAAGTAATTTTACTTCCAGTAGAGAACAGGAAACTTGGTGGTCAGTCAGTTGCCTGTGAGTGGGGCACAGCTGTACGTTTCTCCACAAAAACACATAAAATGCTGCAATGCTCACCTAGTAGTGTAGCATAACGTTACAGAATTAGTTGCCTAGACTAATGTGCAAAGCGCTACACTTAGTCTTCAGAGGCTTGCAAGCCTCATGTGTTTAATGCAAAAAGGCTGAAAGAGTAAACACTGCTGGCTGCTTAAGAAATCACTTGCTTTAGGAAAATGTTGAAGTATTTATCTGAACGTAACCATGTTGCTATTTTCAAGTGATGCCCTGGAAGACAGACAGAATTATTTCATTTCCTCTGTACTTCCTCAGAACACACCCTTTTTTTACTAGCCTCCATCCTGGTGCCTTGATTGCTGACTGACCTGAATGATGGATCAGATGCCTTATTCTGCAACCCTCAGAAATGCCAGGCCCTGAGCAGGTCACTGTGGGCTGTATTACCAGAAGTATCTGCTTATTTCTTCATACTGTAAATCTATAAACCTGCCTGTTGCTGCAGCTCAGGGTATATTTAACACCGCAGCTCCAAAATACTAGGTGAGCATTAGTTCTTCTGCCCATCTTTTCAAAGTGCAGGAATATTTTTGGAGTGCTGCCAAGCAATATAGAAATATATTTGCTTCTATTCAGCCTGTGCATATAAGGAGCCAAGTGGTGTGCTAAAACGTCTCTAATAGTAGCTTCAACCATTAACATGAAGGGATACCACACTGTTGTAAAAATCCAGTGCATGATAAACTGAAATCACTTGGTGGGGGAGCGAGGGGGGGAAGCGTGATCTTTGGCACTATTAGGAAATTATCAGTCTCTTTATCTGCATCTAAAATGGAATGATGCTAATACATTTCATCTGAACAAATGTTTATATTTAGTTTCTAGTGTGTGTTTAGAAATAGCTCGCTGCTTTGTGTAGCAGCCCTAAGACAGCTACAGGATACTGACAGCGTTCCTGCACGTTTGTCACTTTTCACCAAAAGAGTTATTTCCAGTAGCAAAGTATCGGATGCAAAGGCTCAACTGGCAGTGGAAAGGAATTTGGACATTTAGGGGAGAGGGTATGCATGTTCAGGAGGACTGAATTTTCCTTTCTTACTGCTCTATCAGTTGTGACTGTGTGATGCAGTAGCGTCTTCTGGCTGTGCAGTTTCCTTCAATGTCTTCCACTCCGGTCCCAGCTGGCTCTGACCGTGACCATCAGATCCCAGAACCTTGTATCATAGACCTGTGGTGATGATTGCTTAATATGGGTTTGCATCAACCCATAGCAGTCTGTCCAAATTAGTCACATCTAAAATTGCATATGTGCTCTGGGGCTGCTTGGGGTCTAGACTACAGTTTGAAGTAGTCACACTGCTCGCTGTTGTCTACCCTCAGTAGTTCAAATTGCAAGGTGTTTCAAAATAAGTAGGATTAGAAGAACTTTGCTCAGGGGCATATGGCTTTTATAAGGCACTGAATGTGTAATTGTTTTTAACTTGTCTCCATGTTTATCATTTTGGGCAGGAAAAATTCCACCTGAGAGTACACTGATATTCAACATCGACCTTTTAGAAATTAGGAATGGACCAAGATCTCATGAGTCATTCCAAGAGATGGATCTAAATGATGACTGGAAACTATCCAAGCAAGAGGTTAGTGGGTTACTTTTCTTGCTATCAAACCTATAGGGTGAGATAGGATCAGTGGAAAGGGGAAGATGAGCTAAACTTGATCCTGTTATGGAAATATCTAAATGCTTAGAGTTAGATTTTTAGCACTTAGGTGAAGTGTCAGTTAATCTTAACGTATGCAAGTTGTAATTCCCTGTGCCCCTTGGTCACTCTTGTTCAGGCGACACTTACTATCCACCGAGCAACTCTGCTAGCTGTGTTAAAAGTTCTAACAGTTCTAAGTTTAGCTAGTTAAAAGTGCTTAAGGCAATCATTTATTGTTTATTGGGTAATGCACAGAATAGGTAGCTAGGACTAATGAGCTGTTAGGCTAACTATTAATATGCTTGCTGAGAATGATAAGACGCCCAAGAAGTCTTTGCTGGCTGGTTAGAGTGGGATGGAGGGGGATGAGCCTTGCAGGTGGTGTGCTGCCTTCCAATTTTCTCCCTCTCCCTCGCTCATTGTTTAAGTCAGATACACTAAAGCTGTGGTAACTCGTTTGCTAGCTTTATTACCTCTTATTGCTAAAGAGTCTTTCATCACTCAGCAGAGCTACCGAATCAGTCAGACAAGCATCATTTTGAAAGTGACCTAGAAAGGAAGGTATCTATTGTGTAATACTACCATCCCAAACTTCATAGCCTTCTCTTACGGTCCAATAATGTAATTCTTTCATAAGCCACCAAAATATTAACTCGGCCTTTGTGTAATAGGTGAAAATTTATTTGAAGAAAGAATTTGAAAAGCATGGAGCAGTGGTAAATGACACTCAGCATGATGCTTTGGTTGAAGACATATTTGATAAAGAAGACGAAGACAGTGATGGTTTTATATCTGCAAGGGAATTCACATACAAGCATGATGAGCTGTAGAAAAATGTGGCCTAATTTCTTATGACACAGAAATGGCAGTGACTTGGAGAATGTCTGATTCTCTCATCTCGATTCGGTGTTTTTGAGTTGACAGTTGCTGTTGACAAAGAAACATTCTTTTTTATATTAAAGAGAATTTCTGTTCATTATGAATAAATGTTTATTTTAAAGTATGAAAATGTACCTCCTTTTATGCAGCAGATGTGCATATCAATGTGTGTGTTTTTTTTTTTTTAACTTTTGTATTAATTTATTTTTCAGAAATGGAACAAACTTTCCAGATATCAAACACTGTGAAAATCAAAATCTACTTCAGTGCCTTTCTGTGGTGTGTGTGTGTGTGTGTGTGTGTGTATTTGTGTTAAGGATATTTTCAGTAAGTCCTTAATGCATAACTTCTAGGCTGTGGCTTAATTACTTGGCCTTGTTTCTCGTGTAAGTCACTGATTGAAGAGCAGTGTGCTGATTTCACTTCTTTCTGAAGATTTTGGAAAGATATACTAGAGATCATCAGCATCTCTTCCTGCAGCTTAGCAACTGATACAAAGCTGTGCAAAAAGAATAACTATTTTGTGCTGATTTGCTCTTCTAAATGGAGAGTGTTACCAACCATGACAGTAAATTAAGTTTGTATTTTTCTTCTTTAAATGATGTGAACAAAGTAGGAGTTAAAGGTCAGCTTTTAAAGGTTTTTTTGTAGTGTTTTTTCCCATGTCAGTAACATTTTAGGAAATGTCTGTGATCTGAAAAATAGCAAGTTGTGCTGCAGTACGTAGGGTGATGTGCCTTTTTTCAGTGTTTGTTTTGAAACTTGGACCTTACATTCATACAGAAAGTCTGCACTTTTATCCTCTCAAGTTTTGAATGAGATCTTAAGACAAAATGTTGCAAATCTGTCCTTGGTCTCATTTACAGAAAGGCAAGAGGCATACTGACAGGAAGGTGAACTTGGCCTTGAGAAACCCCTTGCATTGGCCTGCCTGCTTTGTTACTGAGTTTCAGAACTTGTCTGTTCTTGCCTCTTTGCTCTATTTTCACCAGTACATCACAAAGAAGTTGTTTGAAGTTTTAAGTTAAAGTGACTTTTTAGAAAAATATGCATGGTACAAAAATGTTATGGTGCTGTATTTCTGGAGGGGTGGGGAGTATGAAGATTTCAAATTTATTTTGTATTTGTTTGAACTGTGCCTAGAGAAGAATTAAAAACAGGAAGGAACCCGTGGATAATGGCTAAACGAGGCATTTCTGCTGAAGGAATTGGATCCCCTGTGTCTTTGACACAGGGGTCTTTGAATATTGTTTTTTCCCTGGAAGGCATTGCTCAAGGCTATAGAGGGACATAAGGCAAATGCAGTTTCGTGAAATACGGATTGGTGCAATGTGCTGATACTGGGGAAGTGAGACTCTACAGTCAAGATTCACAACAGAAAAGGGACTTGTTCTCCATGCCCCCTAGTGTTCTAAGCAAGTATTAGAAAACTACTTTATTAAAGAGTGTTCAGCTTCCTATGAGCAAAGCATTAGGAACTGGCTATAGATTGCTGTCTCTTCTCTGACAGCGGCCAGTAGGGAATGTTTAGGGGAACAAAGTAAAAATGACCTTGAATGTGTAGTGGGTTTTTTGGGTTTTGGAGTTTTGGGTTTTTTTTTTCTGGGGGGGGGGGGGGGGGGGGTGG